CCTGTGTGCATCTGCGTTGCTGTGCACAGCAGCATAGGTGAGACTTCTGAGATAATTTCTTGCCGAGGTGGGGTCGCTTTTGGTAAAATTCTCAAGGATAGGAGTCTTATGTGCAGGTGCCCCCATACACTCAGGTGCCCCACTCAGGTCAGGTGTGGCACCCTTGTGAATGCCTGTTGTGCTGATGTGCGCGTCTGCACTCTCCCTTGATTGTTTCTATGGGACGAGTGCATGAAGCATTGCTACATGGGTGGTGCGGGCTGTGTGCCTGGCAAGTGCTGTTTGGGAATAGGCCGGAGAAGGCACGTTTGCCGGAGAAGTCGTTGAGCAGAAGCACCGACCAACGTAGAGGACCCTGGGTCTCGCTACCGCCAATGGTACGCCAATGGTACGCCAATGCTGTGCTGATGTGCCGCCAATGGTACGCAAAGTAGTGCTGAGTGGTGCAATGTGGTGCTGTGCTTTGCGGTCGAGTGTATGGGGATGAGTTCACATGACCATTGGAGGTAGTTCCTTGCTTCTTTTGTGCACGAACCTTTTAAATGCGAGTCACCACATCTCTTGGTTGCAATGTTTCAATTCTCCACGCTCATCCCTCCTGTTGTTCTTTCGCCTGTGCTTCTCCTCTCCCCGCACTTCTCCTCACCCCACCTTCGTCTCCGCTTTTTGTTTTCTCTGCTCTTCCTTGTTGCTATTTCTATTGATAATGCTGATATATCGTGTTGTGACTTTGTCTCCCGTCCACCCTCTCTCGTACCTGCCCCACCCACGGTACTGCCCACCCTACTTGTGTGGGGCGGCAGCAACCCCCCCCCCCCCTTAACTCGTGCCATCTATCGCCCATTGCATGCACTAGTGGGCCTCGCTCTCTCTCCGTCCCTCTTTCCCTCCCTCTTTCCCTCTCACTCTCCCCTCCCTCCCCCCCCCCCCTCCTCCCTCTCTTGTTCTTGCTTAACACGCTCACATGCATACAATCTCTTACACACACACACACACACACATACACACACACACACACACACGGACCACGCACACATGCCCACATGCATTTAATCACGTGCACATGCACACACATCAGCTCACAAACACACGCCCTGATTTCTTCTTTGTTTCTTGAGTCTTTACCCCGAATTTAACCTCCCCTTTTTCTACCTTCCCGTCTCTCAGCCTTCCCTTCTCTCTGTTTCCCCCTCTCGACCTCCCGTCTTTCCACCTTACCCCCCCTACCCATTAATCATATACACCTTTCTTTTCTCCATTTTCCCTCTTTCTCTTTTCCCCCAGTCAGCCACTTCGGCGCTTCCTGTGAGCTCGAGGTGATTGATAGGGCGCTCATGCAATTTAGGTGTGCTGGGGGGTGTACATGCTGTATTAGGGAGTGCTTATGCTGTGATGAGGTGTTGCAATTTTCTGTGCATGTATGGTGAGGGGTGAATGAAAAAGGGCATTCATGCTGTTAAGGTGCGTGAGCTATGATGAGGGGTGTGTAGTTGTGTTGTCACCTCTTGTTAGAGTGAGGATCTTAGATAGGATAGGAATGCCCTAGAAGAGCTTGGTAGCAGAAGTCTTTGTAGGAACTCTGATCATAGTGAATGTAAATGACAAAGTTGATTAAATAATAGAATACAAGCAACATAAATAGTTCTAATTATCCATGTACTTTAAGGGGTACGTTCCCTTTTTATGACTGTTTTACAGGCAATTCTACAATGACTCTGACTTTTGCTCTTCTCGCCTTTCTTGTTACCGAGTCGCTGCTTGTAACCGTGCGTACGGTTACGCCTGTTGCCATTCCTGGATGGTGAGTCAACCGTCGGTCTAGGTGGTCAGCAGTCGCGACGGCTGTTTCTTGCGACTGTTGACCTTCCTGCCCTTGATACGGGCTGATCCGACATTACTGCTAGAGCTGCTTCGATAGTGACGGGTGGGGTATTGCTGCACCTTCGGGAATGTTAGGTATGATTCCCTTCATACTCCAACACTCCCCTTCATTCCTGGAGGTGCGCCACGTGGCTCTTTCGGATGACTCCGCACAGGTCCGAGCAGTACTGAAACTTCTGACGTGGCAGTTTCTTCGTCAGAAAATCACCTGCCATCTCGCCAGTCGGGCAGTAGGTGAGCTGGACCTTCCCTTTGTCAATTTCATCCTTGACAAAGTAGTATCGCAGGGCGATGTGTTTCGTGCGGTTGACAAAACCCGGGTTGTTTGCGATTTTGATCGCACTCTGGTTGTCGCAGATTAACTTGAAGGAACCGTTCATCGCCGTCTTCGTTTCCTGTAGGAGCTCTGTGAGGTAGAGTCCTTCACGAACTGTTGCGCTTGCTGCAATGAACTCTGCTTCTGACGACGAGAGGGCGATGAGTTCCTACTATTGTGAGTTCCAGGAGATGGCTGCAGGCTCAAGTTTGAAAATAAAGCTTGTGCGGGACCTCCTGTTTTCCACCAGCATGGTCCGCATCCACGTAGCCACTTCGCTGTAAAGGAGCTGTTAAATTCGCGGTGTAGGTGAGGCCGACATCGGGTGTAGAGATGAAGTACTGTAAGGTGTGGTGCAGGTCTGCCATGTTCTCCCCTTCAGGTCGGCGCAGGTACTGGGCGAGCTGGCTGGCGATGTAGGACAAGTCCGGGCGGCATGTGACAGCGGCGAACTGTAGACACCTGAGCTGCTGCTGGTAGAGGCGGTGATCAGCCGGTGAGAGTGGAGTAGTGTCGGGCTCGTAGTTAGGCGGAGGAGTGCGGAACAGGGTAGTAACGTCGATGGGAGCTATCCCGAACTTCTTAGCGAGTTTCTCAGCGTATTTCGCGGCGGAGAGGTGGATAGTGTCGGCGCTCTGGGTGACATTGAGGCCGAGGAATTGTGTGACCTCGTGATTGATGGTCACTTCCAGCTTCTCCCGAATTTCGTGTTCGAAGCGGTCGAGCAGCTCCGCGTTATCTCCGGTGTAGAGGAGGACGTCCACGTAGGCGACAAGGAGGATGAAGATGCCGCGAGACTCAAGGCGATACATCCCTAGGTCGTGGGGCAGCTGCTTGAAGCCGAGTTTGATGAGCACGGTGTGAAGGTACTGCTGCCAGAGGCGTGGTGCCTGCTTTATGACGTATAGAGACTTCTGGAGGAGGCATATGGTGTCGCCATCTTCCTCGAAGGCGTGCGGCTGCTCGACGTAAATGATGGCGTCAACGATCGCGTAGAGGAAGGCGTTGGAGACGTCGATCTTTCGCAGAGGGCGCTGTTTGACGGCGGCGATGCAGAGAAGAATTTGCACAAAAGTGTGGCGTCCGACAGGTGCAAATGTCTGATTGTAGTCCACGAACTGAGTATGCTCGAACCTGCGGACGACCCAACGCGCCTTGTATTTGTCGATACTTCCGTCCGCAAGGGTCTTGATCCTGAAAACCCATTTGCCTGTGAGAATTTTTCTCCCCTTCGCGTGTCGTCGTGGTACCAGCTTCCAGGTTCCACGCCACTGGAGGGCAGCGACTTCTGCGGCCATGGAGGCTTTCCATTTCTCGGCATTGGGCCCGCTGAGGGCCTGATAAACAGTGGTGGGCTCGACCAACTGCTGGTTACCCCGTACGGCGACAGCGAGTCCAAGGATGCGAAAACCTGTGAGGTTGGATTCAGCTGCATTGGTTACTTCGACCACGTCGTCGCCGTCGCCAAGGATGTCGCGAACTGTGTAACGAGAAGAATCGCGAGCTGGGTCTTCGTCCATGGGTGAGTGCATTTCAGCACTTGCGTAATCGTGTTGAACCTGTACTGCTTTGCGGGGATCAGTGTTTGTTGGGAGAAACGTGGGTGTCTCGAACTGCTCCGTAACGGGTACAAAGGGTGCCTCGTCCTCAGTGTCTTCGGCTGGTTGCTCGCCTGCCACATCGACGTCGTCCTCATCATTGGCGAAGCTGTGCTATCCCTGAAAGATGTTGTCTGGTGCGTTTTGTGCAGTGCGGTGCTGGCGGTACAGTGGCAGGGTCAGTCTTTCGTAGAAGATGCAGTCACGTGAACGCGTGAGCTGGTGGGTGGCTAAGTCCAGAATTGTCTAGGCGTGATATTCATTTTCGATTCCGAGGTGGATACCCCAGCGGGCACGGTCTTCAAATTTTCCGGTCCAGGCAGTGTGGGGCCGGTACTGAACCATACACCCGAAAACTCGCAGCATGCGTGTGTCAGGGTGTTTTCCTCTCCATTCCTTGAAGGGCGAGCTGTTGTTGGGCAATGCCTTCGAGGACAGCATGTTATGCAGCCGGACTGCATGCGCCATTGAGAAGGGCCAGTATTTAGTTGGCACAGCTGACTGCTTCATGAGAGCTCGCATTTTTGTCGCGAGGCTCCTGTTGGTTCGCTCGGCCAATCCTTGCTGTTCATGGGCATAAGGGAGGGAAATCATCCTCTTGATGCCCTTCTGCTTGCAGAGGGTTTGAAGTCCTCCGACTGGTACTCCAGGGCTCCGTCTGTCTGAAATGCCTTCAGTTTGTGTCCGTCACTCTGAGTCTCCGCCATGCTGAGCCAGACTTCGAAGCACTGGTAAGCAAGATAGCGATCGCTGACATTTACGGCCCAGACGAAGCGTGTTCCAGCGTCGATGAAGGTGAGTGTGTACTGCTCCCCTCCGACTCCTTTCGCCGTGAGCACCAAGAAATCATTGTAGACCTTCTCGAGCGGTTTGTAACGTTCAGCTCCAGGGATCTTCTCAGCGAAGGGCGTGTGGCGCAGCGCGGCTGCTGGGCAGACGGTGCAATTGGGTTAGTCAGTTCTTGGCTTCAGTAACTTTCCATCTGGCAGCAACAGTGCGTCTGCCGCAAAGACGTTTGCGTTGATGCATTTGTTGAGCACTTGAATTGATGGGTGGCCCATGCGTTGATGCCATATATCTGCGTCGGCCCGGTATCCCTTAGTGCGCGCGTAGAGCTCCTTCTCCCGTGCTAATATCTCTTCTGCCATTTCTTCCCTAGTTCGATCCACAGGTTCGTCGGGCATGGCGACTCGAACTGCTACTGCTCAAAGAGTTGCGCCGTTGTATGTTCCGCTCGTGTCGCCGATGATAATGGTGTCGATCGTCACTGGAAGCTCTGGTGGGCCTTCGGGAGTCGTCGAAGTGGTTTGCGAGTGACGGTATTCTGGCAACATGACTTCCTCGGAGTCGGCATTGCCTATCGCCACTCCCCTTGTCTCGAGGCGGAGGTAGTCCCTGCTGTCCGTCATGATGGGGATAAGGTGAGGTCCGTACTCTGTCAAAGACTCCTCTTCCTCTGCTTCAGGTGCTTCCTCATTGACTTCTGGTATTTCCACTGTCCCTAATTCTTCTGCTGCAGGTTCTCCGACCACGTTTCCCCTTCTGGTTTCGGCTGCAACGGCTTCTCCGGCGACGTTCCCCCATCTGGTTTCGGCTGCAATGGCTTCTCCCAGCACTGTGTTTTCCATGACCCAGCGCACGTCTACGGCGTCCCATCCTTCGGTGGTGTTCCAGCCGGTAGGTTGTGGAGCTGGAGGCCAGATTGGTTGCGCAATCTTCTTGTCTGTTGCTTTGGTTGTTGCGACTGCCGTCTCTGACGTGCCCTCTTCTCCTTCCTCCACCGCTTGCAGTCCCGTGTGTGCAGGGTTCGTGGTTGAAGCGAGGGGTACGGCAAGAGCGCGGAAGGTGTCGTCAAGGCCGGGTCGCTGGTAGTCAGTTTCTTCTGGGTGGCTCCACCTTGGTGGTGATGGGTGGCTTGGCAGATCAAGGACGAGAATGTGCTCGTTGTCGCTAGAGGTTGTGGGCGACTCGAAGTCGAGCACGAATACTCCTTCCATGCGCGTCGCTTTTCCAATGGAGATGCTATTTTATATTCAATGCATTTCATCTTTTGTTGTTTCTAGGCCGACTCCGCACTTCATCAGCTGGTGGAGGGACAGGAGCTCGGGCACGACGAGAACATCGCTGATGTGGATGCAGTAGCCGGTGTCGTGTGACTCCAGTTGAACTTGCCCGCAACTACTCGCGTAGATGGTTTGGTTGTTGGCAACAGCGATCTCCACTTCGTCGAATAGTTGTTCACTGTTGAGAATAAAGACGTCTGACGACACCATGTGCTGACTGCAGCAGCTATCCAGGTACCACGTGCTAACTTCCTTTTTTTGTCTTGGTGAGGTTGGCGAGTTTCGGAGTGATGTGATGTTCCATGTCAAGCTCGTTCTCGTAGTCGTAATTATGCCCTTAATCGTCGTATGCCTCGCGTGCAGGTGGCAACTCCTGGATCCACTGTGGCATTTCTCAGTCGTACTCCATCCGTCCAACTGCCAGCTCGTCATACTTCGGATCATTTTCTTCCTCATCTTCAACTGATCCTTTGGGTCGCTCCTGCAGCGGATCTGCGAACATGTCCTCCCAGGTGCGGAAGAAGCAGTAGTGCCAGTTGGGGCGAGGTGGTCCGCGACGCACCATGCAAGTTAACACCTTGCTTTTGCCCTTGTCACTTGTGTTCGCATAGATGCGTGCGGTGGTGGCATTGTCTGGTTGCGTGCTGGAGCTCCTCCTTGCTGGTGAGTTGCGACATTCTTTTTGTTGCCCTTCAGCTTCCAACATTCTTGAATCGTGTCTCCTATCTTCTTGCAGTATTTGTAGAAGAGTCTCTTCTTGTCCGGTGGCGCTTGTGCGTAGAAAGCAATCTTCTCCTTCTTGTTGTCTCTTTCGTTGTACAGGTCAATCTCTTTCTGTTTGGGAAGGTGCGTTGAGCAAAGGGCAGCTTCACTGAGGGTTCCTTGAGTGCGAAGGAGCGACTTGCACTGGCGCCATTCCACGCTCAATTCAGCGAGAATAATTGTGATGAACATGTCGTCAGGGAAGTTGCCGCCGCTTTTCCTGAACTGGTCTCTCAGGTTCCGGCAGCGGTTGATGTAGGGTCCGGCCTTTTCACCGAGGAACATCTTGACGTTGTTCAGATGGTTGAGCAGGCGACTAAGGGTCACCGAATCTGTTGCCATGTGGCAGGTGCGCAGGTGTTCCCAGGACTGCTGCGCAGGTGCCCGCAGCCCACTCGTTCTTGAAGGGGCGAATGCTCAGCTGCACTTCGGGCGACAGGTTCCGAATTAAGACAATGAAGGTCAGGAGAGATTCGTTGTAGTACTGCGTCTTCTCCTGAGGTGAGCCATTGGTTGGGAAAGCGTACGAACCGTCGTAGTACATCCAGATCTGAGCGCCTTGAGCTAGTAGCTCGAATTCAAAACTCCAGGTGTAGAATTCTTGCCCATCGAAGGGCTTTGTTGTCCTGAGCTTCGATGTTGAGAGGAACTTGCTCTACATTGACGCCATTACCTCGTAATGTGTCTGTTGTGCTTGAGCAGGTCCTTGAGCTTCGCGGTTATCAAAGGTGAAGGATCATTCAGATCCAGCTTTTTGAGGATCGAGAGGTCTTCGGGCGTAGCTAGAGCCGTCGATGCTCATCGGCTGATGGCTCTCCAATGCGCTGATGCGGAAGATTAGCTGCTCGAGGAGCGCTATGTCCACAGTCGTTGTAGTAGAGGCGACATTGGTGGTGGGTTGCACTGGATTTTCTCCAGCCTCTCCGTAGTCTGCGCCTGCCATGTTGGTAGCCCTTAATGTAATAGTAAAGTATGCGAAGGATTGTTTTGTTGAGTATAATCCAATCTGGCTCTCATACCATATTAGAGTGAGGATCTTGAATAGGATAGGAATGCCCTAGAAGAGTTTGGTTGCGGAAGTCTTTGTTGAAACTCTGATCATAGCGAATGAAATAACAAAGTTGATTAAAGAATAGAATACAAGCAATATAAATAGTTCTAACTAGCCATGTACTCTGAGGGGTACATTCCCTTATTATAACTGTTTTACAGGCAATCCTACAGTGACTCTGACTATTGCTCTTCCTTTCTTGTTACCGAGTCGCTGCTTGTAACAGTGCGTACAGTTACGCCTGTTGCCATTTCTGGATGGTGAGTCAATCGTCGGTCTAGATGGTCAACAGTCGCGATGGCTGAATCTTGCAATTGTTGACCTTCCTGCCCTTGATACGGGCTGATCCAACATTACTGCTAGCACGGCTTCGATAGTGACGGGTGCGGTACGGTATTGCTGCACCTTCGGGAATGTTAAGTATGATTCCCTTTATACTCCAACACCTCTCTTTTCCCACTCTCATTCCCTACTGTGCCACATATCAGTGCAATGTCGCACATCCCATGTCCTCTCAACCCTTCCCACCTCTTCCAACCTCTGACGTTTTTTCAACCCTTCCGATACTCGTACCGTAAAACCCTTCCCATACCCATCCTAACAGGCGCATAATAAAGCAGCAGAGTGCAACAGCGCCATCCTCTCCTTCCTCACCCTGCATCGTTGACATGAACCATATCAAGTGCCATCATTGCTGACCTGATTCTGTCTTCAGTAACAGCAGCAGCAGCAGCGTTCAACAGCACCATCCTTTCCTTCCTCACCCTGCATCAGCCACACTCCCGTGCCAACCTTCTGCTGCCCTCCACACTTGAGAGCCAACAGCTTCGTTTGTGTCAATCTTGGGAATTGTGAAAGCTTGCTTAGTCCATCTTGCAAAGGCAGCATGCTTCATTCCAAGTGGGTAGTTACAACGTTCTCGTCCATCAATGATACACAATGGGGTGTTTGGTGGGAAAGTGAAACAAAAAATTGGAAATGAAGAACGTAAGCAAAAGAGGGGTGAGTAGCGGTGAGCCGTTACCTTTGCCTTGCTGGCCACGTCCTCGCTTTCACAATACGAAATTTGAAAAAGTGTTACACTTTTAAAATTTATAATATTGTGAAAGCTTGCTTAGTCCATCTTGCAAAGGCAGCGTGCTTCATTCCAAGTGGGACTTCTAAGGCAAGTGCATCTTGGGTCGGCGGTATCTCTCCAATGATTGCTGGTGCCTAACAGGCGATGGGGCTGCTGATGTGTCCTGCAGCTGGGTGGAGAGGTCGATGAGCTGGTCTTGGGCGATGGTGACGTAGATGTCTTTCGCGCCGTCACTTCGCCATCGCCCCATCCGTTTGAAGACCCGGTTGGGGATGCCCAAAGCTCCTACTGCTGTTGTTGCGCCCTTGCGGAATGAGTGTGTTCCGATGTGCGTGGCGTCGAGCCCTGCCTTCTTGCACGCCTCGAGGCACCAGTTCCGGATGGTTGGATATGAAGGTGATTTGTCGTGTGGCGATGCTTGTGCCCTTTTGTTGAAAACCCGGATCAGTGGCCCGTGTGGCATGTTTGCAAGGCCTGCGATGCGAATGAACTCCCGTGTGCATCTTACTGCACAGTAGGGCCCCTCTGACGCTGCGACCGGGATCCACGTGCCCTTGCCTTCTTGGTCCTCTTGGAGTAAGGGATCAGTAGCCACATGGCCGCCCCTTCGAACTGGATGTCGTTCCATTGGAGGGAGATCAGGTCGGAGTAGCGCAGGAATGCAGCGAACATCAAGAGAGGTATCAAACCTTTCTGATATTCCGCCGGCACTGTGGATTCCAGGAAGGGTCGTGCCATGTTGTGCACCTGATGGAGTGACACGGGTTCCTTGGTCCTTGTCGAGCGGAGGCTATGGCGCTTAGCGAACTCTCGTACTTGCAGCGTGAACGGGCCGTTCGTTGGGGATGCCTCGCTGGTCATCCGATGTGCGAAGGCCACTGCGGAGCATGTGAGGTTAATCGCTGACATCGTTGCCTTGTTGTTCAGCGCGTGAACTAGGTAGAGTGCTGTTGGTGCAACCCTATGGTTTGCACTCGGCTTGTTGTCCGTGTGCGTGTGCGTGCATGCGTGTGTGCATGGAGTGGTATGAGAGCATGAAATAAATAAATATATATATATATTTCATGCTTATAATGGTGTATGAATGATGGGTCATGATGTCAAGTTTGTGTGTCAATTCTACAGCGAGCTATCGCTAGTCGCGTGCAACGCGGTCATTTTGTGTGTCCCGCGCGGTTTCTATTTTGTCGTGCGCGGTTTCTATTTTGTCACTTGTCGAACGTTCGGCGTGTCGCAGGTGTGTGCAGCAGACCCATCAAGAACTCAAGGATGAGTTTTGTGATGAAGAACCCGAGCCTTGGTTCAAGCTTCAAGTGTTTTTTGAAGCTCGCCAAAAGGCTACACCTCAAGATATTGAAGATAGTTACATTACAATGTGTAGTGTAACATTTCTATGGGTGTAGGCCCTTGTGGAGGGTAGTTTCGAGACCCTTCTTAGTTGGGGACAGTGTGGCACTGTTCCACATCACTGTACCTCGGCTCTTGGGGTTTGTAGGAGCTGGGAGTCCTTCCCAACTCGTAACTCTTCCTAGTGCTTCGTAATTGTGTTTTCTAAGACTATGTTGCTGCAATAGTCCCGTTCACTCAATCTGACGTTGTGTCGTCAATTCTTGATGAAATCGGGTGATCTAAATTTCCTATTGTAGGCGACGTTAAGACGCTCCAGATCCAAGTTGAATGAAGTCAATTGGAGTTGTGAGCAGATCGCTATGAACGTTTAAAGCCGCTGTGCAGAAACCTGACTGCGCACTCTATCTTTCGTTCTAGGCACATTGAAGCCTACTGAGACTATAACAAGTGCCAGCGTGAGGTCCGTTGCCGGCAGGAATGCCAACTTGACTCGAGTGCAGAAGTTGCGAACTTTAGCCAGTAAGGCTGGTATGTCTCGATCGTGGACGGTGCGCGCACGTCATTTATGACTTGTAACAGCTGGTTTTGGAGCTTGGTCAACAATCCTGAAAGAGTTAACATTCAAATATTAGTTACAGATAATATTTTACATGCAGGGCAATGATTGGGCTGTGGGGTAGGCCGAGTCCGGAA